GTTTTATCTTAACTAAATTATTTATATAAATTCTATTATATAAACTGTGACATGAAATTATTATGATATTACGGAGACTAGGTCAACAAATATCTTTGACTTACCACATATGTGCAAAATTCCCTACGTAATTTTAAATTATGTAAATAGCTACCTGGATGTGAAAGTGGATGGCAACTGTGGATTTCGCGTGATCACAGATTACGTGTATAAGGACCAGAAGATGTGGCCAGTGACAAGAGACAACATTGCAAATGAGGTTTAATGCTTCAGTGCCTTATACATTCCTAGATATTATAATGAGGTCAATGCCGCACTCAGACGAATAAGATGGAAACAAGGACCTTGTGGCAGGGAGCACTGGATGGAAGATGGCAACGGGGCCCTTGGGAGTAATGGTAACGATATCGACAATTTTTGTACGACAGTATTGCCGCTCCATGCACGATCACGGTTACACGACCAGAACGCGAGATTGTCATCTTTCATCTTGGTCCATATGCACACTTCATTCGTCTAGATTTGTCTCTTAATTTTTCAATGCCGCCTATTTATTTTTTATGGTTTAGATACCGAAATTGGACGGTTGAAGGTTGGGATGATTCCTACCAGAACAGGATCCATCCGTGGCATAATATTCGTAATGCACCTTGATATATTATGATATTCGTTCGTTTTTATTACTGGATTGTGCACTATTCTGATGCCGGCCGCCTAGCGTGAGGCCAGAAATCTCCACCCGACCGCGCCACTGTCGGCCGCAATCGGCGGCCGGCCAATTCCAAATGCCGGTCGGCCGTGCAATATATTTCATTTTTTTAAATTATTCACAAAGCGAAAAAAAAATATCGGACGAATCATGAATCTCTTGCCTTTGGCCCTCGCGAGGATTTGACATTGTTTTGGAATTTTTTGGAGGTGAAACGAGGCGTCAAAGAGACGGCGAGTTTGTAAATTGTAAGGGAATGAGAGAATAAGAGAGAGTAAAGGAGAGAGAAAGCTAAAGGCAAATAAGTAATGAATTATTTATTTATTTAAAAAAAAAATAACTGGACAAAAAAAAAGGAATGGAAAAAAATAAAAAAAAAGTATTGTATAAATCCGTTTTTTCTTAAAAAACGGATTTCTTGAGTACGTTTTTTTAAGTAAAACGTATTAAATTTATCCATTTTACTAAAAAATAATTAATTAAAATAATTAATGTAATTAAGTTAGTTACATTAAATAAAAAATGTATTATTTTAATACGTTTTATAATTAAAATTATATTATTAATTATACACCGGATTATTTTTATACGTTTTTAAAAAAAATATATCTTTAAAATTATTTTAAAAAAATTTCTGCGGAAAATAGTTTTGGAAATATAAAACGTATTTGACAAATACGTTTTCTGTGTAATTTTTCCCCCAAAAATTGATTTTGCCCTAATTTTGCCCTAATTCATCATAAAACGGATTCTATGAATCCGTTTTTCTCTGCAGAAAAATGCAAAATATTTTTTTGGATCCATTTCACTACCTGTTCAACAAATCACAACCTGTTCAAGCAACTAATATGAATCAATTCGCCAAAAATAATCCAACATACAGTATATACAAAAACTCAACGACAATAATTTATTCAAAACACAAATATGAGTATACAAAATGAAAAGAAAATTAACATATATGTTCACAAAATTCCCTGAATACAATACAAACTAATTCGGAGTGTATCGATTCGTAGGATTGCGTTGTCGTTGGCTGATCCGACGTTGTGGTCGTCGTGAAGAAGACGATGCTGTGGGCATGACTGGTTCTTCTTCTTCTTGTTCTTCTTCACCTGAATAAATAATTTTTTTTAAAAATCACAATAACTAAATAAATAAAATTATTTTTTTTGTTAAGTTAAAAATTTTCACCTTCTTCCTCTTCCTGAGGCCCAGTATCGGCAGTGGGTTGGCGGTCGCGTCGTCTTCTACCTCCACCAATGTTGGCAGCAGGTTGATGCCTCGCCCGGTGTGACTGCGTCCTCTGGGATCGGACGTAGCTCTCCTCCTCCGTTAGAACTTGGCTCGACGACGGCCCTTGTGCGACATCTCCGCCTCCGACAGTCATAGAACTGTAGAGAAGGCTCTTGGCCTGTAAGACTGCGGCCTGCACCTCTGGAGGGAGTGTATGAAAGAGGTGGTCAACATTCGTTAACGTGTGATAACCTCCCTCCATGGCGGTAGTCTGAAAATTAAATTCAAAGTCAATTAGAATGAAACACAAACAAATAATAATAATAATAATAATAATAATAATAATAATAATAATAATAATAATAATAATAATAGAATAAAAAACAAAAATATATATTACTTACGTCGCACTTCCCTTGCTCGGCAAGTGGGCGAAAGCCTCTGTCCGGTTGGGCCACCGCGTACTTGGCAGGGTCACCGAGTAGTCTCACAGTGATACTGTGAAACCAATCAAGGTAACCCGCCTCAGGGTCAATGAATGACTCCACAGGGAATGTTGGGATGACATTTTCGTCTCTATGTTCGACCCAAGCATTCTCAAGCTCTCCGTGAAAGGTCACCCAGTCAAAAACTGCCCTCCCGGTCATTCCCTGGCCTCGATGGTGTCTCTGATATTCGGTCTCAATCGGAATGATAGGAGGTTCGGGGGTGGACTGCCGACACCCGAACTGACGGAGGACCCTATCAAGCATGTGGACTTCACGGACGTTCCAGTTGAAGATCCACCCCCTATACATCCAGAGGTGTGAACCTTCTGTACACTGGGCCGGGAGAGCATTCCCTTGCAGGTGCCACTGATAGGGTAGCCATTCGAACTGAAAAATAAAAAATAAAATAAAAAATTAATTAGGAATTAAGTTATAAAAAAATTAAAACAAACAACAAATAAAAATAATAATAATAATCTTACATCCGTCTCTGTGAGCCCTGTCAGTTGATCCCGGGTGGTGGTTGTTCTCTTGGCCAGGTGTGTTGTGCTCCTCCTTCCCACCCACCTTAAAAATCACAGTAAAAAAAAAATTGTAATTACAAAATTTAATAGTGGAAATAAAGTAAATATTAAATATAAATAAATTTTATTACCTTCCACCTAGGGGACAACCAGGGACTCTCTCAAAGTTTGTATCCCTCATTCTTGGGCGAATACGAGGGATACGTTCATATGCTCAAACCTACACATATCGACATATTCATTTGTTATTAAATATTAGTCTAAATTAGAAAAAAAAAATGAATTTTGAAATAACAAGCAAATAAATTTACCTGAATCAGTTGGAAACAGTTCTTGATCCACTTTTTCCGGGACTTGGCGCTCGTGCAGAGCGCTCTATACACTTCGGCCAGGACCGCCGAACCCCAGTTGTACGTCTTGATCGTATCGATGTCGTGCAAAAGCTGCAACCAGTAGAGGTTCACGCCATTGCCCCTCTGGTCGGGGAAAAAGAAGCAACCGATGCACCAAAGTATAAGGGCCTTCGCCCTCGACTCGTAAGTGAAGCAATTCTCTCCATCGGCTAGTTGTCGGTTGCACTCCTCTTCTAACGCATAGGCCTTCAAATACTGGCCTGTAATGGCCCAAGTGCTGGGGTCTTGAACCGGTTCCTCGGCATTCTGAGAGTGGTTTATATATATTAAATTAGTGAATAGAGTAAACATAAATAAATTAAAAAAAAATGTAAGAAAAAAATTACCTGAACATAGGGCTGGAACCCTAGCTCTTCATTACAAATTTCTTGCCATTTAAGGGGCGTGGTATTTTGAGTCTCTCCCCAACAAGGCTCTCCATCGATCGGGAGACCAAAAAGGACTTGTACGTCCTGCAGCGTGATGGTGGCCTCCCCGAAGTCAAAGTGGAAGGTATGCGTCTCCGGTCGCCACCTTTCCACTAGACACGTGACGAGGCTGTTGTCGGTCATGACTCTGCCCATTCGAAACAGCGGGCCAAACCCCATCCTCTCGATGGCATCCCAAACTCTGGGATGCTGGTGATCCAACGCCTTCCAGAACTGAGTGTCGAAACGGCGGGGTTTAATGACGCCGTCACCACATCCGCCTATATCTTCGAACAAATCACTCGACCGGTGGCAGTACTGAAGATATAAAACGGATGGATCTCTCGGACCGAGATGTACATTGAAGCGCTGCGGTTGTGAGGACGATGAAGATGCCATTGTCTGCCAAAAAAGAAAAACAATCATATAATATACTACATACTACAAAAAAAAAAACAATAATTAATCAAATTACAACAATACAATTATATTCACCAAAAAAAAATCACAAAAACACAAATAAATGAAACAAACAATAAATTCACAAATTTAAAAATCATATACACAATAATTCGAAAATATTCTTTAATCGACAATTCGACTCCAACAATTCAACTTCCGACAAAATAATCCCTAAACATATTATATAAATTCACAACTAAATTCACCTCATCACAATCATCACAAATTCACAATATGTCAACAATATGTACAACAATCCCTTTGAGGCATTTATCGAACACGTTCAAATCATATATTTCCAAACAAACTATAAAACCCTAATCAATTTCCAAATAACCAATCAATTTATCACCAAACATATATAATCAAACAATCCATCAACATATTTCAATCCTCAACTCAATCCAATTAAAAACCCTAAATTTAGCCCTAATTCGAAATTATTGAAACAATTGAAAAATGAAAGAGTAATAGAAGAAACGTACCTAATAGACGGGAAGGAGGCGCGGTGGCAGTGCAGTAGGCGGCGACGGCGCGGCGGGCGGCAACGGGCGGATTTTTTTTTTTTTTTCTTCTTCCCGAACTCAAGTCGCTATTCTTTCTCTTTCTCTCTTCTCTCTGTGTTGTGTTAGTTTCTGTTCGCGTAGGGAAGAAGAAGAATTTTTTTTGGTTTTATTTATTTGCAAAACGGATTTACTGAATCCGTTTTTTGGTTTTATTTATTTGTAAAACGGATTCATTGAATCCGTTTTATGTTTTTAATTATTTGAAAAAGGGATTCGGTGAATCCGTTTTATAAATGCAAAAAAAATGGTAAGAGGATCCAGATTCGGGACTTGAACCCGGGTTCGAGTGAGTCCATTATCTCTGGGGGCACCTCGTTACCATTAGGCCGCGCTAGGCTATCGCTAATATTTTTTCGCACAACTTTTGTTCTTATCCTTCAACATCAAGATTATTTATAGTATATAGTATTGTTAATATATTGTATATACATATATATTATAATTTGACATATTGTATATATTATATAGTATATATTATATTATATATTATAACATATAAACTAACATATAAACTATAAAGTATAACATATAAACTATAAACTATATAAATTATATTATATAGTATATAGTATATATATATATATTATATAGTATATATATATAGTATATAGTATATATTATATTATATAGTATATATTATATTATATATCATTACATATAAACATATAAACATATAAAGTATAAAGTATAACATATAAACTATAAAGTATAACATATAACACATAAACATATAAACTATATAAATTATAAACTATAACATATAAACATATAAAAAATATTTATTACAGATTATACGAATCCTTAAATAATTATTCAAAAAACGGATTCGTAGAATCCGTTTTATAAATAAAAAAAAATGTAACGAGAATCCCAAATTCGGGACTCGAACCTGGGTTTAAGTGAGTCCGTTATATCTGGGAGCACCTCGTTACCATTAGGCCACGCTAGGCTATCGCTGATATTTTCGCACAACTTTTGTTCTTATCCTTCAACATCAAGATTTTTTATAGTATATAGTATTGTTAATATATTGTATATACATATATATTATAATTTGACATATAATATATATTATAT